TTCCCGATCAAAGATCAGCTTTGCTTGAGTGTATCCAGTGACTTCATGCTCTGGTGTTCTATAGGCCATCAACAGTGGAGGGAGTAAGACATCCCAATCATCTTGGTGGCTATTACAAAACTTTGCCAATTCCTGTCCCAGTGTCCAATTGTACTTTTCTTCCATCCCATCAGACTGTGGGTGGAGTGGCGTTGTCCTGGTCTTTCGTATGCCAAACAACTTGCAGCATTCATGGAACACAGCTGATTCAAAGTTACGGCCTTGATCCGAATGCAGTTCGTATGGCATACCAAATCTGAAGAATAAATCACTAATAGCCGAATCTACAGTTGTAGCTTCCTGATTTGGTATTACATACGCCTCAGGCCACTTGGTGAAATAATTGATCACCACACAAATGTACCTGTTTCCAGCATGAGTTTGGGGCAAAGAACCAGCAATGTCAATGTTGGTGCACCAACTTGATATAACTTCATTGGAGCACGTCCCTTGTGCTTGAGTCCCCTTTTAACACAACATGTACTGCAATTCCTGCACCATGCCTCATACCTATTCAGTAAAATCTCTGTCGCAGGTGACTCAATGTATTCTTAACTCTGAGATGTCCTCCTGTTAAACTATCATGGGATTGACGCAGCACAACTTCCCATAACTTTCTCGGTATAACCGTTTGCCAGGTCGTCACTTTCCCATCTCTGGAGAAGAATACCATCTTGAAGCTTCAACTGGTCCCATTGTGCCCAATAGTTCTTTGTCACAGGGCTTAAACTAAACACCTTCTCCCAAGCAGGGCGCAAAACACTTGCTTGTAGAAAATCAATTATTGGCTTCATATCTTGGTCTTTCTCCTGCTCTGATTTAATATCCATACCTGCTTCCATTTCACCATCATCAACTCCTTAAGTCACTTTGACTTCAGCTTGATGACACCTGATTAGTTCAATCTCTCTTTTAACATGTACCAGAATTTGGCCTTTGTTGTTCCCAAACGTCATTTTATCAAAATTAATTACAAACTTCCTCTGTAGTAAGTAGTCCAACCCTAATATGCATGGGTCTTCAATGGCAGCCAAGTATACTTCGTGTCCGTCTTTATGCCCATGAGCTCAAAAGTTACCCACACTGGTCCCTACAACCTTGCATAATCTCCTGTCACACCAAAGAGCTTCTTTATGGCTTGTGGTACTCCTTTGTGATCTAGCACCCTAATACTCACAAGGGTTTGCTGGGATGCAAAATCTATGACAAAGTTGCACCTTTGGCCATCCAGCTTTTTTGTCATGTAGACATTATGTGTGCTTGCCATTTTACACCTAGCTGTTGGGACTTTCACGATGGGGGTTGGTGGTTGTCCCTCAACACCGACCACTACTGGTTTCCCCGAGGCTGACTTATTGGTAGTATTCTTCTTACACAGGCTTCTCATGTGTCCTTGCTCTCCACAGCTCCAACAACCTTTCTGGGTAGCAGCCTTTCCTGCCGTGGCATCTCCCCTGTGTTGAAGTTGCCGGCATTGAGCTTTCTTGTACCCTGGTTTTTTACACTACCAGCAAAGTCCCTCAAACCTCTCTGAAAGGTGACCTTTTCTGGCCTTGAATCCTGATGACTGTACTAACTTTGGTACCTCTGTGCTGGATTTAACATAGGATTCGAATTCAAGAGCTCTGGTCATTGCATCCTGCATAGCAGAGGAGTGGGCTTGCTTCACTTGCATCTTTAATTGTGGACTGTCGAAAGCATCTCCAAACGGATCCCTCACCAACTGCATGAGGACATCGGGTGGTGCAGTTGGGAAGTCCTTGTGTGCCACACTTTCGAAATCCCATACCAGCTCTTTCAGGCTCTCCCCTTTAGCATGAACTCTTGTCTTAAACCTAGCCCGGTAGACTTCAGACTGATTTTGAGTTCCACACTCGAGTTCTAGAGCAGCTACCAGTGCTCTATAATTATTCCTGTCGTCTGCTGACAACTGTCCAAGTATTTCCAGTGGTTGTCTTTTCAAGCTCGTTGCCAGGTACACTGCCTTCTGCTCCTCTGTCCATCCATTCATTTCTGCCAGGAGCTCAAATTGTGCACTATATGCTTCCCACGGTGCCTTCCCATCGAATTCCTGTGGCTTCCTTTGTACTAGATCACCCCTATTGCTGACACTCATGTCTGGAATGTGACTTATGACAGGACCGAAGATGTCTGCATTAGGGTTTAACTGCAGGATCTGATAGGAGCTTTCCATTGTTTGAGGCTGATTAGGTCGATGGCTAATATATCCTTCTTGTGTAAAATACAGTAAAGCAACCTTTAATGTATTTAATTCACTTTGAAAGTTACTAATCTTTTCCATTTGTGTGTGCTGGCTTTCTCTCAACTGTTAAAGACTTTCTTCTTCTTTATTTTCTTTCTCCTCCAACCAGTGCTGTAGTCTCTATTCTTGTTTATTTTATTTTCCTCCAACAACTGCTGTAATCTCTCTTGTTTATTTTTCTGTTCGAGCTGCCACTGTTGCAGGTTTCCTTGCCACTTCTATTGTTTCTTTCTTTTTTTTGCTGTTCTTGTATTGCTTCCATCAAATCTGCTAAGTTGTAGTTTGATTTGCCTCCTTTGATTTCATTTTTTTTCATCCCACTTCTCTGGTCGTTTGCTAATTTCCGGTATAAATTCTTCCTGAGTAACTTCAGCGATACAAGTCATTTCTTAAATAAAACTAGTTTATTTTTTCTCAATACAACTTTGCAATACACAGAATTTCCACGGTCACTTAAACACATGCTATAATTCACAGCGATTCACGCACCTTACTTACGGTCACTACCGCTCGCTTGACTCAATTATCTGTCTGTATATCTCACTATCTGCTATTATATCTCCACTTTATTTGACGGGCTTATATACAAAAAAGAGGGCGCCTAGAAAAGACTAGAGTTGCCAGGAACAGTCATGATGCTTCTAGAAACTCCAGTGTGCATGCTTCCAGCGTCGCGTGACTTCCGCTCTTGTAACATAAATAACTAAAATTTTTTAAAGACATCTATGTCACTAAAATTGGCAGAAAACATATTGTTGTAAGTTACATTTTTAATGCTATAATTTGTGTGTTAGCAAAAAGGTGCATGATGATAAGATTTACCTAGAATCTAGAAAGTTCTAGGTTGACTTCAAACTTTTCTGGTACCATCGTAGCTAGATTATATTTACAAGAAAATTCTCCCAACAAAATAAATATGACAAAACACTGCTATAAGAGGTGGGATAATATGCTGATGAAAATAATAAGTGTTGCGTCAGCGAGGTCACGTGACTAGTATCACGCCACCTGTTTCTAGAAATGTTCTGTTCCTTCAAGAATGCCCTAGAATTTACTAGATATGTGTTAGTCTTATATATATAAGACATTCACAACGTGACGGGACAACAGAGGTAAGGAGTAATTGAATGTATGCGGATAAAATATTGTTGACCACGTGAGACGTGAGCGTTTGTTATAGAGCGACTGTTGAAACTAAGTGTATCGTAACGTTGTATTCGGAAAGAATAAACCAGTTTTATTTAAGAAAGGACTTGTGTCGCTAAAGTTTCGTCGGAACGAATTTACGGAAAATTAACTAACGAACGGAGACGTAACATAAGAATATAACTTTGAATATTTTTAAAATATGACTGTTAAAGATGATGAAGCTGAAGTTAAATAATGAGATTCAACTTTTTCTTGACATAACTATTGTTACGACAGCGGAAGTCACGTGACGGTGACAACACGTGATGA